TTTGCTCACTGGAGTGTCCCAGTTCTTGGAAGAGCATCCCGGGTTGTTAGCCTGCAGTAAAAGACAGTTTTGTGAGTGCAGTTCAGGCAGCCTCTCGTCAGTTCTCTGTCAGCGCATGTCTCTGACTCCAGCTTTGTGACTCACTGTTCTGCTTCCCGGGCTCCATTCAGGCTTTCATGATAGTGTAGACCAGTCCATGTTTTTGTGAGATTTCCTTTTCATCCAGCTCCTGCTCCGCAGAGGATATAGGGAGGAGGTGGCGCGGCCAGCGCTCTCCATCTAGGCAGGGCTCCGGGCGGTCTCCAGCTTCCTAACCAGGTCTCTCAGGTGCGCTGGCTCTGATCGCTGTCCGTGCTGTCATGCCACTCTCCCACTTGTACTGGGGCCCGGCCTTCCTCTCCATTCTCAGGGTGTCATTGCCGAGATGGTGTCATTGCGTAGGGTCCAAAATCTTATGTTCCTGGCCACGGGCCACCAACTCCGCCTCAGTAATCCCTGCTGGGGTGCTCTTGAATTCATCTTCACTTGGAGTAGTTTTGTTTGGGAGTGAGATCTCCTGTCTTTTGATCTTTTCTTTTTGCTGGTGTGTCATTCTCCAGCTCTGACAGAAATGAAGCTTAAACAAGTAGTCCAATTTAAAAAACGGGCAAAGAACCCAAACACATTTCTTTTTTTTTTTTTTTTTTCCAGTCTTTTTTTTTTTTTTTTTTTATTGTAAAGATACTATACAGAGGGTTACAGTTACATGAGTGAGGTAATGAGTACACTTCCTCTTGAACATTGTTACCCCCTCCATTGTTTTCCCCCTACCATCCCCTCCCTCCCTCCCTTCCCCGAGGTTCTTTTTTTTTTTTTTGATTGTGATTAAGTGATTACATAATTTCAAAGTCACAAGTTCATTCTAACTTTCCTGGAGCAAATTGTCTATCACAGTCTGTAATATATAACAGTGTTCACATGTTATATACCATATTTGTGATCAGCAGCATGGGGATATTTAGTAGTGGTTCAACCAGATGAGCAGGAGTTCTTTGTTTCTTAAGTCCTGTTAGTTTTTGGATTTAGCATCCACTTATCAGGGAGACCATGTACCGTTTGTCTCTTCGTTCTTGGCTTACCTCGCTCAACATGATTCCTTCTAGCTCCATCCATTTCCCTGCAAATGCCATTATTTTGTCATTTCTAATGGCTGCATAATATTCCATTGTGTATAGATACCACAATTTTTGGATCCATTCATCTGTGGTGGGGCATCTAGGTTGTTTCCATATCCTAGCTATTGCGAACAGTGCTGCAATAAACATGGAGGTGCATGTGTCCTTGTGTATTGGTTCCTGTTGTTCAGGGTAGATGCCTAGAAGTGGTATGACTGGGTCGTAAGGGAGGTCAATCTTTAGCTTTGTAAGGACCCTCTAGACTGCTTTCCAAAGTGGTTGTATAAGTGTACATTCCCACCAGCAGTGTAATAGGGTTCCTCTTTCTCCACATCCCCTCCAGCATTTGTCGTTGGCTGATTTGTGGATGTGGGACATTCTGACTGGGGTAAGGTGGTATCTCAGGGTTGTCTTTATTTGCATTTCCTTCACCACCAGGGATGATGAACATTTCTTCATGTGTTTCTTTGCCATTTTTATTTCTTCATTTGAGAAGTCCCTCTTTAGTTCCCTTGCCCATTTAGTAATTGGTTTGTTAGGTTTGGGAGGGATTAGTTTCTTGAGTTCCCTGTATATACAGGATGTTAACCCCTTGTCTGATATATTGCTGGTAAATATTTTTTCCCAATTCGTTGGTTGTCTTTCTAGCTTAGTCGCGATAGATTTAGCTGTGCAGAAGCTTTTTATTTTAAGGTAGTCCCATTTGTCGAGTCTCTCTCCAACTTGTTGTGACCCTGGGACTCTGTTCAGGAAGTTCCTTCCTGTGCCTATTAGTTCAAGTGTCTCTCCTACTCTGTCCTGCAGTAGTTTCAGAGATTCAGGTTTAATGTTAAGGTCTTTAATCCATTTTGAGTTGATGTTGGTGCATGGTGATAGGCTGGGGTCCACTTTTAGTTTTCTGCATGTGGCTGCCCAGTTTTCCCAGCACCAGCGGTTGAAGAGGCTGTGTTTCTTCCATTGTATGTCTTTGGCTCCTTTGTCGAATATCAGCTGGCTGTAGGCCTGTGGATTTATTTCTGGATCTTCTATTCTGTTCCATTGGTCTTTGGATCTGTTTTTGTGCCAGTACCATGCTGTCTTTGTTATTATAGCTCTGTAGTAGAGTTTGAAGTTCGGCATGGATAGCCCTCCCATATTGTCTTTATCCCCTAGAATTGTTTTGGCTATTCTAGGTCTTTTGTTGTTCCATATAAATTTTTGGACTGTTTTCTGTATTTCAGTGATGTACATCATTGGGATTTTAATAGGAATTGCATTGAATTTGTATATTAGTTTTGGAAGTATTACCATCTTTACTATATTAAGTTGGCCTATCCAGGAGCATGGGAGGTTTTTCCATTTCCTAGTGTCTTCTGCAATTTCTTTCTTTAACTTTTTATAGTTCTCATTAAATAGTTCTTTTACATCTTTGGTTAGGTTAATTCCTAAATATTTTATTTTTTGAGAGGTTATTGTGAATGGGGTTGCTCCCTTTATTTCCCTCTCTTCCTGTACATTATCAGTGTATAGGAAGGCAACTGATTTTTGTGGGTTTATGTTGTATCCTGCTATTTTGCCGAAGTGACTTATGATTTCTAAAAGTTTGGGGATGGAGTTTTTGGGATCGTGGAGGTATAGTATCATGTCGTCTGCAAAAAGGGATAGTTTCACTTCTTCTTTCCCTATGCGGCTCCCTTTAATGTCTTTTTCTTGCCTTATTGCCCTGGCTAAGGGTTCTAGGACTATGTTGAAGAGGAGTGGAGACAGTGGGCATCCTTGCCTTGTTCCTGATTTTAGGAGGATTGGTTGTAGCTTTTCCCCATTAAGTATAATATTGGCTATTGGTCTGTCATAAATGCTTTTATTGTTTTTAGAAATGTTCCTTCTATTCCTATTTTCTCCAGAGCTTTTAGCATGAATGAATGTTGAATTTTATCAAAGGCCTTTTCTGCATCTGTGGCGATAATCATGTGATTCTTGACCTTGGCTCTGTTGATATGTTGGATTACATTTATTGACTTACGTATGTTAAACCATCCCTGTGTCTCTGGGATGAAGCCTACCTGATCATAGTGTATTATTTTTTTTATGTGTTTCTGGATTCCGTTAGCTAGAATCTTGTTAAGGATCTTTGCATCTGTGTTCATCAAGGAAATTGGCCTGTAATTCTCCTTTTTGGTTGGGTCTTTGCCTGGTTTGGGGATGAGTGTGATATTGGCTTCGTAGAATGAGTTTGGGATAGTTCCCTCCTTCTCTGTTTCTCTGAAGAGCTTGAGGAGTATGGGTATTAGTTCTTGTTTTAAAGGTCTTATAGAATTCTGCTGTGAATCCATCTGGTCCTGGGCTTTTTTTTGTTGGAAGACTTTTGATAGCTTCCTGTATCTCATTATAGGATATTGGCTTATTTAATTGGTTAACTTCTTCTTTGCTCAGTTTGGGTACCAAACACATTTCTTAAGAGGACGTGAAATGGTGGGAACAGTGTATTTTTTGAACTTGGTTCCTTACTAACTGAAAGGTTCTCTATGGCTTGTTGCCAGGGGAAGGCAAGATAAGACTACAGTGCAACCTAACACCTATCAGAGTGGTTGTTTATCAGAGAGGATTTTCGTCGTGCTGGCAAGGATGTGCAGCAAAGGGGCCCAGCCCTGTTGGTGGCACGTGCGTTCATGCCGCTCCTGTGTGGAAGTCACCTGCGCTTCCAGGCTCACTGCGGCCCCGCTTGCGGTAGCCAGGGCCTACTTGGCGTGCGTGTGCGCAAGGGGACACTGTTCAGACTTGAAAAGGAATGCGCCCCATCCCCTGTGAAAGCAAGGATGAGCCTGAGCACGAGGTGGAACAAGCCAGGCACCGAAGATGAGCGTGCGGCTCACTCACGTGCTGAGCCCGTGGAAGGAGTGAGCAGAAGGATCATTAGAGCTGAGGATGAGGTGTTGGTCAGTAGATGCAGAGTTCCAGCAGGGTCTGAGCCCCACACAGTGACCACAGTAAATAGCAACACATTGTATTTTTCCCACAACTTTTAAAAATGTTGTTTGTTTTTTTTTGCTTTTAACTTTGTTGATTTCATTTATTTTCTTGTTTATGTGGTATCAAGGAGCCCAGGGCCTCATTTAGGCTAGGCAAGCATTCTGCCACCAAGCCACATCCCCAGTCCATATTTTGAGAATCACCAAAAGAATAGATTTTAAACATCCTCATCACAAAAATGAATAAGTATGCTAGGTAATACATGTTAATTAGCTCAGTTGAGCCAGACCACAATGTATGCATAGTTTAAAACATGTTGCAAACACCAAATAAATATGGTTTTATTTATCAGGTAAAATAAAAGAATGAACAAAATTTAGTTTAATGTTCAAAACTAATTTTTAACTGGTTTTTGTTGATAAATGGCGTATTTATGGAGTAGTTATTTACCCTCAGACTGATGTGTAATGCCTCTTCTGTTAAATATGTGTATGATTGAATCTGCTTTACTCTGTCACTTTGTGGTGCCAGCGCTCTCTCTTCTGCATTACTGAAGCTTTTATGCTTTTTAATATTTAATGTGGTAGTAGTCTCTCATTGATGTTGTTTTTCAAAATTGTTGCTAATGGTCTAGCCCATTACTCTACCATGTGGCTTTGAAAAGTTGAATCAAGTTATGAAAAGGAAAATCTCCATTGGGCTTCCCCCCTCCCCCAATAGTATTAAACTGGACTCAGTTCACATAAGTGAATATTTTCATCAAAACTTTATCCTGGTGAAATAGCCATAATTTTTACTTTAAATCATTTAAACCCCTTTTATACATACCAAAGATATGTCTTGTATTAGAATAATGCAGCTAAAATGTAAATAATCTGTTAAATTGTTTTGTTTCAGATATGTTTCCTTATTTTTGCCATTCTCTACATTGTTTCCTACTTCATCATCACCAGATACAAGAGAAAATCAGGCAAGTAGAAATACCTTAATTAAACTTTTATTACAATGCACATCATCTGGGCATGGTGTTTGGGATATGTCATACACCTTACTTCAGTGGTGAATATACTGCTGACTGAAGTAAACAGTTGACGGGTACTGAGCACTAAAAATAACCTCCAGGGAATTTGACTATTCTTAGGATCACCTCTTAGACCGCAGTCCTTGTTTATCACAATTCTTATGTCCAACCAAGGTTAGTCCTGGGCTATTTAGAGTCTGGGAAGTTTCAAAGTTTATGAGGCTTGTGACTGGCTGTAGTGTGTGTTCTACATACCCTCCAACCCTTTTCTCATTACTAGACATATCTTTTCTTTCTCCAAAGCAATATGGAATTTAGAGACTTCGTAATGACATTGTTAGTCAACTGTATAGTATCCTTTTATTACCGTGTTATACTTACCTGTGCGGAGGCAGATGATTATTTTTTTATGTGCTAGTCTTTGGGCTTGAACTAAGGCCTTTGGCATTATCCCTGAGCTTTTTTGCTCAAGGCTGGTACTCTACCACTTGAGCCACAGCTCCACTTCTGGCTTTTTTGGTGGTTAATTGGAAATAAGAGGTTCATGGTGTTTCCTGCCTGGGCTGGATTTGGAATGTGATCCTCAGATCTCAGCCTCCTAGTATGAACCACCAGCACCTGACTAACTTTCTGTTCTTTAGTGTATTGTAGTATTGGTTAATTTACAGGTTTTTAGGTCAGGGTTTTAAAAGGGCCTACATTTTAGAAATAACCTAAGTGTAAACTCCCATGGCTAAGTCTCAGCAGAATCAACTTTATTTTTGTTTTCTATACCACTGAATTATTTGAGTTTTTATAATGACTGTATTATTTTTGCTGTAAAAACCCCTAAATTAATAGATGAGTGGATCCAAAAAATGCAGTACCTATACACAATGGAATTTGGCACAGTTGTTAGAAAGAATAATATGTCATTTGAAATGGATGGACCTAGAACAAATCATGTTTTAAGTGAGGTAAGCCAAGACCAGAGAGACAGACAGCTCATGTTTTCTCTCCATATGCAGAAGCCAGATCTAATATACACTGGAACATGGTAAATTATACAAGACTCTGGACATTCATACATTGTGAGGCCAAAGGGGAAAGGAATACAAAGGCACAATGTTTCTGTGCCTCTGATCATTAAAATAACACTTATGAAATGAGCTCTACGAATGGAAATGAGCTTTTCTTTTTCTTTGTTACTGTTTGTGTTTTTGCTTCTTTTTGTCTTGTTTGTTCATTTATTTGTCTTTGGGCAGGTAAGGGGGCACAGAAATGGGGGGGACAAAGGGTGAACAAACGTGGTAGTGGTACCACTAGACATTAATGTTGAAAAGGAACGATACAGTTTTTGGGTGGGGATGGGAGGGAAAAACTGAGAGAGAGGGAAAGGGTGACATTGCCCAAAAAGAAAGGTCCTTTTAACTGACATATAACCGTAACCCCTCTGTATATCACCTTTATAATAACCATAAAACCCCTAAGTTGCAAACAGAATAGTGAGAGACATAACTGAGTGTAATGTGGTATGCTAGATCAAATCATCGAAAAAGGCATTCATGGGGCTTGGCTCAAGTAATAGAGCTCCTACTTGGCAATCATACCTCAGTACTGCAAAAAAACAGAAAGACATTCTTGGGAAACAGATGAAATGCAGATTAAAGCCTTAAAAATGAAATGAAATAGGAAAATGGATCAGAAAAACACACAGAGCCTAAACTGCAATGTGTTGTGGCATAGTAAATGGTGATATTATCTGCTGATAACCTGTGATGAAGATGGGCAGAAGCCAGAATGTGGAAAATGTCACATACTTGTGAAAGTGAAGTTAAGACACTAGTTTCTCCTAGTGTGTATAAAGACTGACCAGTACAGGAGGTTACTAGGAGACTGTGTCACTATCTTTATGAGAGTATGCAGAAGGTGTTCCAAGACTAGTTGTGGTTTTTACACAGCCCACACTGCCTGCAGGGCACAGTTAATGTCAACAGCTGTAAGCAGAATTGCAACTGGAGTTTCTCCTCCAGAGGTTTTCGATGTATTCTGAATATCCATTTTCTTTTATTCCATTTATTCACACTTGCCAGTTGTCTCCTGTCAAGTAAGAAGCGCTAGTTCCATGTTCCACTCCCCACAGAAAGTCTCCAGCTATGCTCATGGTGGCTTCAAGAGCAACTCTGCTCCCTGAAGCAGCTGCTGCTTCAGCAGTTGCATTCTCTCGCCCAGGGAGCATTCTGGGAGAGGTCTTGCCATCAGGAGTGAGGTGAGGAGTAGGCTAACTTTGGAAGGTGAATGGAAGGTGTAGCTGTGGCATGTCGGAGTCTCACCTCAGAGTTGTCCTGACCCTTCCCCTCAGCTCTCCTCCCCGCCAGACCTCGCCACACCCACCCGTGACAGGTGCGGCCCACGCCACTTACACCTTTAAATCAAAGTCCGCCGTCCAGCTTCTCACCTCTGTTTCAGAATTTAAGTGCCTAGATCTGAACGGAAAAGAAGGAGGTGACACTATTAGTGAGTGTCCAAATACAACACTGTTTTGATAAAATTGAAAACAGTGCAAAATAAAATAGCATAGGGTGATATTCAAATTATGTTAGTGAAGAAAGTTCTAAGAACTTAGTTTGTATAGTTGAATTTGAGGATTACAAATTCTTAAAGATAGGGTGCATTTTATTAAGACAGGGCTGACTGTGTAGCTCAGGCTGGCCTCAAACTCAGATCCTCCTATCTCGGCCTTCTGAGGTTCTGTGCCAGATGGAGGGTACTGGAATTTTTTCCTTTTCAATTAGCATACATTTGTAGTGTGACAGTTTCTTTGTACTGTTTTTATACAGGCACATGGCATACTTTGAACAAATTGACCTCTTCCACCATATTCTCATTCTTCCCTCCCTGCTTTTTTTTTTTTTTTGGGTCCAGTCGTGGGGCCTGAACTCTGGGCCTGGGCACTGTTCCTCAGCTCTTCAGCTCAAGGCTAGCGCTCTACCACTTGAGCCACAGCGCCACTTCTGCCTTTTTTCTTTTTGCTTACGTGATGCTGAGGAATGGAACCCAGGGCCTCAGGCATGCAAGGCAAGCGCTCTACCACTGAGCCACCTTCCCAGCCTCTCCTCCCTGCTTTTTCAAGTGGCATTTTGAAACAAGGAGAGACTGCTAGGAGGTGAACAGTACTGACAGACATTGTGTCTGTGAGTGCAGATAGAAAAAGGAAAGCTGGTGAATGATAGAGGGTGGAAGCTGGGTCAGTCTGATTAAAATTCTGCACAGGCATGTGTGAACCACGGTGAAACCCATCTGAAGAATTCACGTCACCAAAAAAATGAAGGACAGGAGTGTAAGGCAGGTCCTGTCTGGGATGGTGCTACTAGTGAGAGCGGGAAGAGAGGGCAGGAGGGGGAAGGGAGCGGTGAAGTTGTTGGAATTACCTGGGAAAAGGGGAGGAGGGAGGTGCATTGCGTGCTGTGTGCACACATCAAAATGAAATCCACGGATAATTGACGTTAATGCGGATGTAAAAACTAACTTTTCAACACTCTATCTTAGACCTCTATCTTAGAGGTCTGGGCTCATCTTGCACTCTGCCTGGATAAGGAGTGAGGAATAAGTCAGGTGGAACAGTAGGAACGAATGCCTGAGATTGTGCCAAAGGCCCCACTGAAGTCACGAAACAAAACTTGCTAGTGAGCACTTCCTTTGGGCACCCCGTCTCCCCCTGCCACTCCCAGGAGTGCTGTGCAGTGAGGGGGTCATGAACTCTTCCTGCTGCAAGAGTCAGTTAGGCTGAGTGCCTATCCCAGGGCTGTGAAGACAAGAGAGAAGATAAACGCTTGCCAATTGATAACAAGGGCCTAGAGCTCATCCCAGCCACACCCCCTGTGGAGCCCTGAGCAGAGACGGGGAGCTGACTCAGGTCAGACGTGATCCACAAATGTCTGTGCAACAAAATAAAAATAAAAGTTGATAAGACATGTGCACGCAATCATTGGTGCACTGGTAAATGTTTAAGCAAAGCTCCTCGGGGGAAATAGCCATGCTTCATGATGCCCACCTATTTCTGTTGTGGGACCTGCACCACCCTGGGGCTAGAGGCCATTGTCCCAGGGAATGGGAAAACTGGACCCTGTCACGGCTGTACACTTGGAGGGTGGTGGGGTCCGAGGGCCCCACTATGGAACAACCACAGGGGTCCTACGTTGGCAGTTGAACAAGCGGACCTCTATGCATGGTTGAAGTTGCTGCTGCTGCTCAGGCTGCTACCTGCTAGCCAGGCAGCAGTCGATGCTGCCACCTACCAGCATGGCTTACACAGCATGGAATGGAGTGAAAGGTACACATAACAGCCAGCTTCTCCCAGGAGATGTGCTCCATACGGAAAGGCCTGGTGACAGGTCATCAGCGAGGGCCGGGACCCCAGGAGGGCAGGCACACACAGTTCCTAGGACAGCTAGTCAGGGCCCCTTAGGAAATCAAGACTCTCCATTCTCCCTCATGTGCCATCATATCCGACGCAGTGAGACTTAAAATTGAATCATGGCTTAGTAAGCACAAGCTCTTTGAAAGCTCTCCCTACTCAGCAATGGCTTTTTAAGTACATATTTTAAATAAGTTAGTAAAACATTTTATAAGAGGATGAGAGTATTAATACCTGAAATATTTTTGCAGATGAACAAGAAGATGAAGATGCCATAGTCAACAGGATCTCGTATGTATTCTACAATTTAATTGTTCTAGTTCTGAAGTCAAATCTGAAAATTCTGGTTTTTGAACAGAAACATGGAAACATCTAAAATTCCATTAGATTTATCAATATTACTCTTATTTATCAATATTAATCTTATTCTTAAAAAGCTCATATAGGCAAATAGATGTGGATAGAGGATTTATTATCTCCTGTTAAAAATATGATTTAAAAGATGATAGCTTTTTTTTTTTGTTGTTGGTTGTGGGGCTTGAACTCTGGGCCTGGGCGCTATCCCTCAGCTCTTCAGTTCAAGGCTAGCACTCTACCGCTTGAGCCACAGCGCCACTTCTGGTTTTCTAGTGGTTTATTGGAGATAAGAGTCTCACGGACTTTCCTTGCCTGGGCTGGCTTTGAACCATGATCCTCAGATCTCAGCCTCCTGAGTAGCTAGGATTACAGGCATGAGCCACCGGCGCCTCGGCAAGATGATAGCTTTTATCTGCAGAGGATTTAATAAGGAAATAGGGTTAAGTTTGGGAACACTTCCAGGTTGAAGGAGGAGCCTCAGCTGAAGCCAGGCTTTCCCTCAGTGGAGGGGAGAGGACGCCTCTCGGGTCAGCAGAGCACTGACTTGGTGTTTATGTCCATTGTTCTTTGGGTTTTTTGATGAGACAAGATAGAAATATCCTTTAAATTTTTTTTGAGCTCTCAAACTGGAGGAAAAGTAATGATTTTCTCAGGTAAAATGTGAGAAAACACAGATATACGTATGTGGGAGGTTATCTATATTCCAGGACTTTAAAAATTGATAATTTGTGTTTAAAAAATCTCTAGAAGGTTAGAAATCATGCAAAGGGATTTTTTTTTTGTTTGAACTCTTTGATCTACTGTTCCATTTCCTCATGTGTAATTCCTATAATTCCTATACCCTCTCCTGAATATCTACCATGCAAGCACTAAAATAACTAAGTTAATGCTAATGTGGTTCTGCTCTCTCCCCACTGAGGTTTTCCGAGTTGTCCCCGGCGGAGCTTACATGCCACATCCCCGTCCCCTCAGTGGACACACTTCTTCAGCATTTCTTTGGCTGACGTGAATAGGGCTGATTGGATTCAAAACTGAAAAACAAATACAAATGGAGTTGTTATTTCAATTATTTTAAGTGCCTTAGTGAAGTTGGATGAGAAAAGCACAACTTTACACTGGAAATTCCTGTTCTATGGCCCCGGCACTTGGCACTTTAAGTCTACAGAACTGGAGAGCTTTTAGTTTTACTCTAGTACTTAGGCAAATCGTGGCGTTTCCTGCGTGTGACTCGCTGTTCCTAGCTGGTGTGGAGCCGTGGCCTGTGCACCGGCCTACCCTCAGCCGGGGGCACGGGAAGTGAGCCTGGGGAAAAGCCGGCAAGGTCCTCGCTTAGAATACAATGCAACACACGTAGGCTGGGGCTCGGCCGCGCCAGGCCTTGAGTTCAGCCCTGAGCACCACAGAGCCCACTTCTTTCACCTCCAATAAAGGTCACCGTGAGTCGCAGACTGAGCGAAGGGCAGTGGCTGCGGCTGTGTGAAACCTGCTGGGTGTGCAGGATGAATGAGCATCCCCCTCCCTCACCACCCCTTCCCCCTTACCATCCCCCTCCCTCCCTCACCACCCCCCTCCCTCACCACCCCCCTCCCTCACCATCCCTTCCCCCTTGCCATCTCCCCCTTACCATCCCCCTCCCTCCCTCACCATCCCCCCTCCCTCACCATCCCTTCCCCCTTACCATCCCCCTCCCTCCCTTACCACCCCCCCTCCCTCACCATCCCTTCCCCCTTACCATCCCCCTCCCTCCCTCACCATCCCCCCTCCCTCACCATCCCTTCCCCCTTGCCATCTCCCCCTTACCATCCCCCTCCCTCTCTCACCATTCCCCCTCCCTCACCATCCCTTCCCCCTTACCATCCCCCTCCCTCCCTCACCACCCCCCTCCCTCACCACCCCCCTCCCTCACCATCCCTTCCCCCTTGCCATCTCCCCCTTACCATCCCCCTCCCTCCCTCACCATCCCCCCTCCCTCACCATCCCTTCCCCCTTACCATCTCCCCCTTACCATCCCCCTCCCTCCCTCACCACCCCCTCCCTCACCATCCCTTCCCCCTTACCATCTCCCCTTTACCATCCCCCTCCCTCACCATCCCCCCTCCTTCCCTTACCATCCCCACTCCCTCACCATCCCCCCTTACCATCCCCCTCCCTCACCATCCCCCCTTACCGTCCCTCCTTACCGTTCCCCTCCCTTACCATCTCCCCCTCACCATCCCCCCTTCCCTGCCATCTTCCTCCCTCCCTCACCATCCCCCCTGCCTTACCACCCCCCCTTACCATCTCCCCTCCCTCACCATTCCCCCTCCATTGAGCCTGCACCGCCTTGGGCTGTGATCCACTTAAACGCACTTATAGGTAGTCACTGGAGGCACACCATCTCTTTTACCCTTATGAGAACATGGCTCTATCCTGTTCCTGGTAGAAGGGCTGGGGGCAGCTCTGTGTCCTCTACCTGGTTCAGCCGGGCAGTTGGATGGCACAGCCAACGGGTTGGCTTTTCCCACTGGTTTCTGTGTTGTGGTAACACATGTGCAGGTGTTCTGTTCCTGATGGTAAATGGTTTAGAGTCACAGCCAAGTGAGGTATGGGCCTACCGGGCTCACCAAGAGGCGGGGCCTGGCCTAGGCGGCTTCTTATGCCTCCTGGGCCTTTCAGGATGCTCCTACTCCTGAAGTGCCCCTCAGCCGGACCCTGTTTCCTTCTTCTCCTAGCCCCACGTCAGCTCCTCTGCCCTCACAACCAAAAAGTGCATCTTCTGAGAGCTACTCTCAGCTGGGCACTTGATTTGATTTGGGTCAGAGCAGCTGGCCTCATTGGTGAAGTTTCTTTGAGGATGGCTGTGGACCTGGGCAAGGCCTGGTGTGTGTCGGGAAGGATGGCCTCCTCAGGGTAGGACCTGGGGAGGGCGTCTGAGCCAAGGGAGGCCTGCCCTGGGCCCGGAGCTCCGGGAGCAGAGGTCTGGAATCGGGAGGGATGTGAACAGGAGGGTGGCCTGCCCACCCTGGGGAGAGCGGCAGGAAATTGAGGACGGTTGCTGCTGGGTGGGAATTTGATCCGTAGAAGATGCCGTTAAGCATAGTCCGGGGAGAAGGAGAGAATGAACGCTGAGGTTCTTGACCGGCTTTGAAGGTGTTGGTGTGAACTCGAGGTGCCGACACGTAGGCCTTTGTGGAGTGGCCTGCGGAAGTAAAGCGGGTACATGTGTGTGCACACGTGTGCTGGGTGTGCGCTACATCATTCTCCAGCCCTCTCTGTGCCCGGGGAGCACCGGCAGCACGCCATCTCAGTGGAGTGAGTGCAGCGAGTGCACGAATCCCAACTCTTACAGCAGAGAACGGTTTTCCACACGCAGAACCTAGCTCTGTGAAGGGCAGTTGGGGGGTGGTATAGGGAAGCCCAAGCTAATTTTGTATTTCTTATTCTCTCTCTCTCTCTCTCTCTCCATCTATCTATTTTTGTGACAGTCCAGAGGCTTGAACTCAGGTTGTGGGTTATGACCCTAAGCTTATTTACTTATTTATTTATTTATTTTCAAGGTTGTCACTTAACCACTGGAGCCTCAGCTCCATTTCTGGCTTTTTGGTGGTTCATTGGAGATAAAAGCCTCATGGACTTTCCTGCCTGGGCCGGCTTTGAGCCACAGTCTTCAGATCTCAGCCTCCTGGGTAGCTAGGATTACAGGCGGGAGCCACAGGTGCCCAGCTAATTTTGTGTATCTTACTGTACAGAAGGCAAGTAAGTGCTTGAAGAAAGGGGGCATGTTGCAGAGAAACAACTCCTCCAGGGACTCGCACTGCCAACCCGGGACAGTCTGAACACTGGAACGAGTCACTTGCACAATGGGCCCCACCCGCTTAGTACAGTTGGAAAATCCATCACTGCTTTCCGACCCGGCAAAGGTAGACGTAGTTGTGTAGTTCGTTGTTCTACAGTGCCTCGGACAGCCTTGGCACATACTAATAGATATCAGTAAGCAACAAAATTGGAATTTTGGCAAGAATAAGATACCATCCTAGTTAAAATTTACCTCCCCACAAAATACTAATGAAAGGGAAGGGCAGCATTAGCGTGGAGACTGGCAGATCCCGCCCTGAGTAGTGACAGAAAGCAGGGTCGTAGAGGGCAGACAGCAGCCCCTGGTCGCCTTGCTGTGGTAGAGAGGAGCATAGGGCAGCGATTCTGTGATCATCTGCCTGGTGGACCCGTCAGAATGCCGGTGTCCAGCAGTTCCTTCCCCTTTTAACTTACACCTGAGGTTTGATGGCATCTGTCACGTGCTCTGTTTCAGACCCAGTGCCTCAGAGTTGCCTTTGGCTCCTTAGCTCCATGCCAGGGGCCTTGTGGTTTCCATTTTCAGGATTGGATGGCTTTGTAGTGTCTGCACTTCAGTCTTCTTACTTTGCCTTACTTTCCTGTAGCACTTACTGTCTTTAGAATATTATACAATCACACAATTAGTATTTTATTGTGCCAGACACTGTGACTCACCACTGTCATCCTAGTTACTCAGGAGGCTGAGACCTGAGGATCGCGGTTCAAAGCCAGCCCAGGCAGGAAAGTCCGTGAGACTCTGATTGCCAATAAACCACTAGAAAGCCAGAAGTAGAGCTGTGGCTCAAGTGATAGAGCACTAACTTTGAGCTGAGTTCAAGCCTAGGACCAGCCAAAAATAAATAAATAGAGTGAGGGACTACCACATACCCTCAGGGGGACCCGTGGAGCACCCCGTGGTACTGTCAGGGCTCCCCGAGAAGAAACCGAAGAGTAACAGCAGGGACATCCATACTCTTACCAGAGACTCACGCGATGCAGTGCTGATATGAACTGGGTAACCTAACTCACGCAGCATACATTTACTGATCAGCTACTTGAAGACTTAGGGTGGAAAGCTGAAACACCAGCAGTCTACAGATAAGTAGAGCATGAGAATGAGC